ACCAGACAAATCTCATATACATTAAAGGTGTTTAGGTGGATCCACACATGACAATGGGTGGAGTCCCGATGGCCGAGCAGTTAGTTAGAGCCCTAGTGGACTCGCTGATGGAGAAAGTTTAAAACACAGCTGTGATATGCTACATGCAAAGCAACTGTGGGCACGTCTCAGGTTCATTTTACTCAGCAGCATCAATGGAGGTGAAGAAAACCTCATTTTACTTATGAAGGGGCGTCAAACAATGACACAGTCGTCTGCACAGTCCGAGTCTGTGTCTAACAGGGACCGGCCGTCCGCCATAAAGCGATAAGCGACAAGCCCACAAACTGAAGCTCAGTCACAGTCAGAGCACAGCAGCTGACGATTTACAGTTGCTAACTCTTACACAGGGAGCTGTGTTTAAGCTGCTTCAGCCTGCACGCAGATGCTGAACATCTGGAAGGGAGTTTGCAGCCCACCTCCACCCCAGCTCTTTCTTTCATGCTATTTCTGAATTGTCCTATCTGTCGTCATCTGTCCTGTGGTGGGACCTTGTTGTTGCTCTCCCCGCCTAAGGCTTTTCATGTGTGCACATGGAAAGTGGAGGTTCTCAAATAGATGCCGCCAAATATAAATGGCTGCAGATGGAAACATCGTTTTCTTTTGACTGTTGTGGTCTCAGCTGAAGTAGCAGTTACCGGATAACATGTTTGCCTCTGTAGTTAAATTGTTTAAATGCTCAGCGTACAAAGGTCGCCCACAACACTCCAAGACAGACAAGAGCGCAGCAGCTGGGCTACGTGAAGCTCACAGGGATGTGTGGCAGGACCTCCGTACTGCATCTGCACCACCCGGCTCACGACTGCAAAGACTGTAGTTGTCACTCGTGCACAGCACATAGGTCTGAGGTATTTTTGCTTTACTTTATATAGTAGGAGGCCGCTGTGATGGATCTTTATACATATATATAAATATATATATATATATATATGTATCATATACATGTCCATACACCGAGCTTCTAATGCTCCTACACTGAATTATAATCATAGTCTGTATCATAGCCAACACCAGGGTGAAGCAGCTTCGGCGTAGGGTTAGCACGAGGTTGTATTTTAGCCACATGCTCTCTTTTATGCATCATGGCTTCACAGTTTGTCTCTTACAGGGTTTCTGTTTCAGTTATGCCATGTAGATGTGCACGTACCCTAACCTCCC